TCTTTATCCTGGGCAATTTTTTTTTTTTTTCCTTTTGGCTCTGATTGGAGGAAGCAGAGGTGGGGTTAGGAAAAAGAAAGTAAATGACATCAATTTAAAAATTCAGGGCCAAAACTATATAACACTGAGTGCAAAACTGACAGCTCCTTCTGTTGTTAGCTTTACTTGTCAGAAGCATGGACAAGTAAAGGGGGAACTGCTGTGGGTACAGGGTCTCATGGCAGGAGGGGTGTGTTTGGTGGTAGAGAGGAATAGGATAATACAATGGGGAGGGTGAGGAACCCTGGGACTCAGTTTTCTCATCAGTACAAAAAGTGATACGTAAAATCTAATATCTAAAAATAGTCTTATCTCACAGGGCTGTTATGGAGATCAAATAAAACAATAGGTGCGGAAGAGATTTTCTGGCTATATAGAACTGTACACGTGCAAGGTTTTTGAAAGGTGCAGTGTCTTTATGCCTTTGGGCATAGCAAGCCCAGGAGAGATAGCTCTGCAAGGGAACTTTGTGCCTGGGTGAGGACAGGACTTTTGTAGGTATGCCTGTGTAGATGTGTGTTTTCTGAGCCAGGGAAGAAGGTGTAAAGGCTGTGCCTGCCTATTGTCTACCTAATCCATATGCAGTCTGCCCTCCATCTCCCAGCCCCTTCAGCCAAGCATCATAAAGTTCGGAACGCCACTTGAACTAGTGTCTCCAAGACTGACCCCTTAGTCAATTTTGATTGATTTCATAGTGTCTGAAGGACTAGAGGAAGAAGTGGGAGGCAATCCCCAAGCCATGGCTTCAGGTCACTGCAGGCAATAGCTGAATCCCTGGGTGTACCCCAGACGTATGGAAGGGGTTGTATCAAGGGAAGTGTTTCAGGAATTCCTATGATATTAACTACCAACAGCCTGAAAGGAGAAGGGTCTCACTGGAGAATAGACAGATCATTCTATAGGCCAGAATGAGAAAATAATTCTGTCCTACATCACTTCTGCTCTTGCTTGTGGGTTGACCTGTGTTCCAGTTTTGGGGTGGTCACTAGGGGTCATTAAGGGTGATGCTTAGTAAGCCTAGGATTTGGTCTGGGGCCAGAACTTGAGTCAGTCTGTGACCAGGATTAAAGATCCGTCTGGGACTAGGTTTAGTGGTCTGTTTTAGGGCAGGGTTATGGGTCAGGTTGAAGTCTAGAGCCAGGATCAGGAGTCCATCTGAGATGGATGAAAGAATTTCATGATAGACTCTGACTGAAGAAGGTAGTGGTTGACCCTTCTCTATCCTAACCCACACTTTTAACAAGTCTCCTTCACAGCCTCAGCACCTCGACCTTCTACAGTATCTCTGTGAGGTCTTATCAAACTATAATACCATGGCTTTCTTTCTCTTTATTTTTCTAAATAACTCTTTGGAGCTTGAGCAGAGAGATGGTTCTACTTAGAAAATGCAACAGTGATTGCTGTGGGGCTATGCTGTCTCTCTGGACATTCCCCAGGACCCTACTTGACAGCTGGGCAATGAGAAAGACTCCTAGTTTCTTGTCCATGCCCCTCCTAACCCCCATTTTGCACCTGAACAAGGAGGAGAGGCCAGGTGGTAGAGGACAAAAGTGCACAGACGATATCCCTGGGTACTGAAGGGCTGAAAGAAGGAAATTAGAGTGCAAAGGGATTTCTGAAGCTGTGATCTTTGCAGAGTAGACACCTCCTGTGGACTCTTGAGGTTGGTGGCAGGGAAGCAGGTGTTTTGTGAATCTGTCTACAATGATTCTCTGTGACTGTGTTTGTGCCATTGTGTGTGTATGCTCATTGTTTGGCAGTGCATATATTTGCATCTCTATAAGGCTGTGGGGGGGTCCATCCTGTTAGAGATGGATGTCTCCTGAGTCATCTTGCCCATTTCACCACCTAAGGGCCAGGGCTGTGTGTGTGTGTGGGGGGGTAAGGCTAGATTCTTAAGATTCTCCAAGACAGCAGGGTCTCAACAACCTCTCAATCCTATTTTCCATCCCCTTCATCCCCAGATGAGGAGTGGGAAGGAGCTGGTCTCATCACTCTTGGGGCCCAGCCCAGAGCTGAATATCCTATGAAACCTCCCTGCTGTGAGGGTGGTGCTCCCCAACTCTCTGGGGCTATAGTGGTCTTGACAGGGACTTCGTGAATATCCGGGTTCCAAGCCACCTGAAACAGCAGTCTAAGGGCACTGAGGCAGGAGTGGAGCCCCCTAGGAGCCTGAAAGCTGGCTCTGTGGATCTGTTCTCCCACTACAAAAGAGATTTGGGGAAGGGGGTACCAGAATTGTTTTCCCCTGAATCTGTAGTACCACTATTGTCCACCAGGTGGGGTTCCAGGGCAGAGAGTGAGAGCCGAGATGCCCCAGAGCTAGGAACTGGAGACCAGCCTTTCAATCTCTGTCCGACACCTCTACTTCGGAAGCGTTCGCACAAGGAAGGACGACACATGCGCGCACCTTAGATGCTCACACAATTCACTTCTAGTGAGTTCTAAAATATAAATCATTTTGGGTGCTGCAGGGGAAGCATTAAAAGGCGAGTCTAGTCTAATTTACACACATTACACTAAACTGAAGGTGGGTTATCAAGTCCTCTGATCTTGGGAATATGAGAGTGAAAAACTGACAAGGGAATGGGATAAACAGGACGGAAGGAAGAGGGAAAACCAGGTACTAACGAGACAGATGTCGGGATACGACTACATAACTCCTTGTATTACAGACACAAGGGGTTCACCAGATGACACAGATACATAGATGTACAGACATAGAGAACTCCAGAGATCACACGCAAACACCTAGACACACCTCACAGATCCACAGACGTCTGGCAGACCCAGGGACACACGCGCGCACACCACAGGTGCGGCCCCGGGCCACACGCACACCACAAACAGGCACGCGCGCCGGGTCCTCTGCGGCCGGCGTGGAGAAGGTGGCCGCACTCACCCGGCATGTTTATTTACTCATTTGTATCAATGAACGTTTGTGCCCGATTCCTCCCGCCTCCGGGTGTCGGGCCGCCGCATTTGTCCTCCGCTCAGGGCACTCTCCGGGACCAGCATCTGGCTTCTTTCGATGCTGCGGGGGTTGGGCAGGGGCTACAAAGTTGGGAGATCTTGAGGTGTCCAAGCGAAGGGCTTGTAGCGTCAGCGGCCCGAGACGCTTACCGGAGTGGGAACTTCAAGGTCTCCTAGGGTAAGAGACGTGGGGGGAGGGATGGAGGGACCTTGACATCTGAAGTTTTGGGGTGTAGGAACGGTGACGGGGACCCCTGGCCAGGGTAGCTTGGGAATGGCGAATGGGAGAGCTGAGTGGTCCCAGGAGACAGCAGCCAGTGAGGTCCCGCGAGATAGGAGCTCGCGACCCTAGGCACAGGTTTAGGGCCTTTTTGCATCCCCCAATAGAGTGGTAGTCCGATCCAGATCTCGACTGTGGAGGCGACGGCCCACGCAGGACTGCCCAGAGTGGGAGGAGAGGGCCGGGGACCTCTGAAGAGGAAGAGACAGAGGTAAGTAGCCTAGCAGCCAAGCGGGCACTGTGCGAGTGCGCACCCGTGTGTGTGTGTGTGTGTGTGTGTGTGTGTGTGTGTGAGCGAGCGCGCGCGCGCGTGTGTTTCATCTCGTCCGTCGGTAGGTGCCGGGCTCAGTGAGACGCCAGCGAGAAGGAAAGGCAGGCGAGAGGTGAACTGAGTTTGATCTTGCTGCGGCTACAAGTGGGTCCCGGCCCGGCCTCGAGCGGCGGGCTGCCGGGTCCTGGCGGGAGGCGGTCCAGCGCTCTCACGCTCGGGCCCGGCGGCCGCGGGCCTGGCCTCTTACCCCGCCTCCCGCTTTGTAAGCGCCCGGGGGGGGGCGAGAAGGAGGGGGGGTTGGCTGAGCGCCCACGGCGCAGCCTCCCGCCTCTATATAAACACACGCATCGCCTCGCTTTTGACTCAAATTCACATTGAGAGAAGCTTTTAAAACCATCAGCCCTGAAATCCTGCCTCCCGCTTTTCCCTTCTTTCATTCCTTTTTAACCATCTTTTCTTTTTCCCCCATTTCTTCCCCCAGCAGCAACTCAAGAGGAGAGAGACTGCGTCCCGGGACGGACTGCCTTTTCTTAATTGATACAATAGCCCAGCTTGGGTTTTCCACCTCCTCTCCCAACCCCACCCCGCCTCACTCCTCCCTCCTGCCCTCCAGCCGCCGCCGCCGCCGCCCCAGCGCCCGCCTGGGGCTCTGTCGCCGGCTGCGTCCCGTCCCGGCCGCAGCTTGCCGGCTCCGCACCCGCATTCGGGCCACTGCGTCCGCCTCGAAACCTCGCCCGCCGCTCCCGCCTCAGGGGTGCTGCGGCGGCTCTGGGGCTTGGGCGCGCCGCTCCTGGCAGCCCAGGGACGCAGGGCTTGGGCCTCTACACTCGCCTCAGCTGGGGAGCCTTCCCCCTCGCCCCCAAAGTTTCTGGGTTCGTTTGAATTTTTGAATTTAGGATTTTTTCCTTTTTTTTTCACCTAAGAATTTTGGGGGTAACTTTTGACAACTCAATTGTACTTTCTCTCTGCTAGCTCTCTTGTCCCCCCCTCCTTTTATTTTACCACTTCCCCCGGCCCCAGGCAGGGGAAGGGGCTTAGGAGAGAGGCTCTTGCTGGACAAAGTTTTCCAAGTGTGATGGTTTCAGGAGAGCCAATCCACCAGCTTGTTTCAGGGCTTCATCTCACTACCCCTTGAGCAGCCCCTAAATCTGCTATAAAGGAACAAACAAACAAACAAACAAACAAACAAAGTTACACTCCGAGTCGCCTTAGTGTCTCCTCTTCGCTTCTTTTAGGCAATTTTTTTTTTCCACCTTCTCTCCGCTCCCCTCGCAGCCTCCACTCCCCTTTCCTCGGCCCCTTCCTCCTTCTCTGTTTCAGCTTGAGGTGCCAGGACCCCCGGCCGCAGCCTCCCCTCCCCCGCCGCTCCGGTCCCCTCCCGTCCAGCCCTCCCCTCCCCCGCCGCGGTCTGCACAGCCAATCCCCCGAGCGGCCGCCAACATGCTCTTTGAGGGCTTGGAGCTGGTGTCGGCACTGGCCACCCTTGCCGCGTGCCTGGCGTCGGTGACGCTGTTGCTGGCCGTGTCTCAGCAGCTGTGGCAGCTGCGCTGGGCTGCTACCCGCGACAAAAGCTGCAAACTGCCCATCCCCAAGGGCTCCATGGGCTTCCCGCTCATCGGAGAGACCGGCCACTGGCTGCTACAGGTAAGGGCGCACTCTGCCTCTGCTCTCCGGGGTCCGCTATCCGTTATCGTGCGATCAACAGAGCCACTGGCCGGCCCGGGGGGCGCTGGGAGCCCAAAGGCACTGGTCCGCGCCCCGCCCCTTCCCTCGACTCGGCTAGCGCCGCCGGGGCTTCCCCTGCCCGCCTGTGGAGTGGTTCAGAGGACTCTTGTGCCCTGTGCGCAGTTTAATAGGGGGCTGATATGAGGGGTTCTCGCACTGGACAAGGCTCCCAAGAATGGCATGCCTTGGTCGAGGGCGTCTGAGCGGGCGTGTGTGGAGTGTCTTGGTCCCAGTGGCGCGCAAATCCGAAGGGGCGTCAAGTCAGTGGGCCGCATCTCTTCTTGGCGCTGCACAGTCCTTTCGCTGTCAGCTCTTTTGACTTTGGCAAAGTTTCTGGGAGCCGTAAACTGAGTCGGGGAAGGGAAGAGGGGGCAAAAGGTGGCCTGAATTGCCCCTTTAAAACCTGTGCTGTGATCACGCGCACTATCGGCTGCTGCCAGGTACAACCTGCCCGGGCCCCCCAACAGTGCACTAAGAGTGTTTTTTGCGTTGGTTGAAGGAGAAGAAAACCCAAGGAAAATGAGAAGCCAGAGAGACCCGAGGGCTCTCGGCTTTCAGGGAGGAACGCGTCTAATCATTTATTAGGTGGGAGCAGTTTGGCGGGGAGAGAAACTTGGGAGAGTTACATAGAGAGAGTGCGTGTGTGTTGGTTGTTAGACACCGCATAAACCCACATTGCTGGTGATAGTGGAGGTGGGGCGCGTCGAGGACTAGACCCAAGTTAGGTAATGGGGAGATTAACCTGAAATTAACCTCGTCAAGTGCTAGACGATAGTTTTTGCAATTTGATACACCCCGGTTTTTATGGGGGTGGGGATGAGACTCTTGGGTAGCCGCGGGAGGTGTATTTGTGTTCTGGTATTTGTCCGATGGGTGCTGATTGGGAGAAGGATGGACGTCCTTAAACAGACCTGAGCACAAGAAAGATGAAGCGGGAAGTGAGCGCTCCCGCCGGGGACAAGTGGTTGAGAAAGTGCAAAAGCTTGGCTTGAAATTAACAGACGCGTGCAGTCCGCGCGCGCGCGCACACACACACACACACAACACAACGCCCTGCTCCAGGCCGAGTGACAGCGAAGCGGGAGCGGGGAGGGGACGCAGAGTTCCTTGCAGTGTGTTCTTCGCATACCCCAGTCTATCTCTTTTTGAGTTTATTCGTGCAACAGGATAGGATTCACTTAAACCAATTGGGCTATCCCCACGCAGAGAAGTCTTCTGTGCCACTATACTTAATGGGTTAACTGCAGCGGTGGTCTAGGCTTTTGGCCGAGAATTTAGGAAATAACTCACAAGGGCAACGGCTCCCGCCTTGTTAGAACCAATCTTCGGAATCCGCGGTCTGTCACCGCCCCCCCACCCTGTTCCCTGACCTTTCCCTGTCCCCCAAATGCTCCCCCCGACCCTCTCTGCGAAACCCACAAGAGCCCTTGAAGCTCTGCGTCCACCCGGAGGGGAGCAGATAGAAGTCTAGCGCCTTCTCATCCAGCGTCCAGGGTGCCTGAGACCGGTGGGAGAGAGATAGGTGTAAGTGGGTAAAGGAGCGCAGAAGGGGTTAATAAGAACCCTCTGAATACTAGCCTTATTTTTCGGAGTCATTTATCAGATTTTACGGGGGGACCTCCAAGGGTTCTCCGTTTCCACCGAGCGCCATCTAAACAGAGCCCAGGGCTAAAAATACAACATTTTTGTATAAATTGGACTTGCAGCTCCAGCGGCCGCTCCTATGAAAGTCCTCTTTGTGAAGACGGTGGAAACGGCGGACAAATAACTCTTTATTAATGCCACAAAAAACGCACTTTAATTATAGTTAGGCAGATCAGAGGCGGGGGGTGGGGAGAGCGAGGCGGCGGCGACCTCGGAAAATTCACAACCCAACTTTTGTGTCGAAAGAAAAGAAAAACAGAGGAAACGAAGGAGAGGAGAGACGGAGAGTCAGACTGAGCGAAGGAAACTGGTAGAAGCAGACGGAGGGAGGGAACCCTGCTCCTCGCGGGTCCTGGGTTGTATTCCGCCCCCCCTCCCGCCCCGCGCCTTGATTTCTCTTAAAGGGGTAGACGCCGCTTAGCAAGGAGGCACAGAGCCGGGCTGGGGGAACTTCTCCCCGACTCGAGGGCCTGGGGGTGGGGCAGTGTCCCCCGGCGGGCCCAGACCCTCTCCTGTGTAGGCGATCCCAGCTCTCCCTGTCGCGCGCCGGGATGGAGGCACATGTGGAAAAGTGATTAGGGATCCGGGTTCTGCAGAGTCACTTTTCGGCAGTGCTGGGGTGTGTACACATCTATCTGGAGAATAGTTTTCCGTGCTAGAAAGGAAAGTGAGGAGGGGGACCAATGTGGCAAAGGGGGGGGAGCCAAGTTGCTCCCTTAGGTGTGCATGATCCAGCAGGTCTAGAGCCCGGGTCCACACGTCTGTAAGGGTGCAGGCAGGGGCAGTCGGACAGGTGGAGCCCCTCCCCATAACCTGCTGCCTTGGCAGAAGAAGGGTTAACGTGGGGTGGGGTGGCGAGCGCCGACGTCAAAGGTGAGCGGGACGCCCCTGCCTCCGCCCCTTGGAGGTCCCCTTGGTTTCCGGTACTCGCACAGCGCCCACCTCCGCCAGCTCCTAGGAGCGCGGGCCCGGGTCCCGGCCTTGCTGTCCTTGGCTCGCGCCGCCGCGGACCGGGATCCAGTTACCTGCGCCGCCCGCCCCTCCCGGTCCTGCCCCGCCCCGCGGGGAGCGCCTTCCTCTGTGCTCCGGTTCCAAAAGCTAGAGCAGCGACGAAAGTGCTTCTTACTTATTTCCAGGGCAAAATTCGTTACGAAAATCGAGGCTTTTCGCTCGTGAGCCCGCCCTGCGGAGAGCCCTCAGAGGCCCTCCAGGTCCCTTTTCGGCCCACACCAGAGCACGGAGGAAACCCCCAAGTCCCATTCTGTAGTGGCTGCCTCCCCGGCACTGACCGCTTGCCGCTATAAATAATCTTTGGCCTTTGGCCAACCCACGGGGTCTCGCCAGCCGGTGGCCCAAAGCCTGGAAATATTTATTCCGAAAGGCTCCAGAGCGCGAGCCTGGGGAGGGGAGCGAGCTTCTAGCTTCGGGTCCAGCCGTTCGGGATACCTTTTCCCTACAAGTCATTACTGAAAAACAGCCTCCTGCTCCTTGCATTATTTATTATTCTCTAGGCCCTACTTCCCAGTTCTTGTGCACGCTATGAAAAATAAAACCTGCAAGCACGCGCGCGCGTCTCTCTCTCTTTCTGTGTGTGTGTGTGTGTGTGTGTGTGTGTGTGTGTGTAGGACGGGGGGAGTAGCTGAGTTGTGCCCGGAGTGGGGCTCGCCGCCCTCCCCTGTTGGCCTTAGATGCTGGGTTTTGGGGACGTTCCCTCTGGCGCTGTATACCCAGAGAGCGGTCTCCTGTGTGGCTTCTGCAGGGTTCGGTCTTCCAGTCGTCGCGGAGAGAGAAATATGGCAACGTGTTCAAGACGCACTTGCTCGGGCGGCCACTAATCCGCGTAACTGGCGCAGAGAACGTGCGCAAGATCCTCATGGGTGAACATCACCTCGTGAGCACGGAGTGGCCGCGCAGCACGCGCATGCTGCTAGGCCCCAATACGGTGTCTAACTCCATTGGCGACATCCACCGCAACAAGCGCAAGGTAGGAGTTTTGGGCCAAGAGCTGCGCAATCGCGTTATAACCCTCTGTGGCGCACCTCCCTCGGGGTAAGGAGTTCGCGGAGCCCTGGAGAGCAGCTGACCCGTGAAACTGAGCCCCCATTTCTACATCATGCTCGAGGACCCTTCTTGCCCTGCCTAGTCTGCTGCGAACCCGGATCTTAGACCTGCACAGGCATTCCACTGGTCCCACGTCTGGTGCGCACCACCAGGCTAATGGGTGGCTGTTTGGGGAGTGGTTTTGGGCAAAGCTGTACGGTTCGGGGCCTGAGGCGGAGGAAAAAGGGAGAAAGGGTGGTGGTCTACTCTTTACCACGTTCTTTACCTCTTTACCACGTTCCTCCAGGAATTCAGACTACTAAAATGAAACTTGGCTTTCTCGCCATAGGTTGCTTTACGGATTTAAAAGCGGGTGTAGGGAGCCTGGGGTACCTTGTGGGTAGCACTTCGGCCGCTATGTTAGGGTAAGGGCGATGGGTGGTGAGCAGTCCAGGCGCGGGCGGGGAATCAAAGTGCATGCCCCCTTAAAGAGGAAGAGAAAGTGGGTGTTTATCCTGTGGATTTCCCGAGCGACTAGAAGAGGCGCAGTGGAGGCGAGCCAGCGCTCTAGGAGCAAGCCTCCCCGCCCCCTCCTGCTGCTGCTGCCGCCGCCGCAGCCTCAGCCGCCGCGTCTCTAGAGCGCGGGCGGCACGTGCTGTTTGAACTGCAGTAACCCGAAAGCTGAGCCGGCGGCGGGCGGGGCGTCGGGCTCCAGCCAGAAAGCAGCCAGGAGTGGGGCTACACACCCACCCCCTCCATTTTTTCCATTGGGTCAGAGGACTCACACAGGTTGAAACAAAAAGGAAAGGGAGAGGCCTACTCAGATCTCCCAGAGGAGTGGCTAGAGGGAAGGGGGTGCTGGGAGAGAGGTGGAGCAACAGTGGACCGCCTCCCCTCCTCCAGAAGACTGTGAGGTGGTCCTGATGAATGCTACTGGCCGACGCAAGGTACAGTACTGGATGTCTTCTAAGCAGCCTATGAATGGGTGTGCTCCGTGCAGACAAAAGGAGAATGAAAAATCAAATGGAGGGGACTGGTCTGCGTGTACTCCACGCATTCCCCAATGAAGCATATATTTCAGGGACTGGAAAGGGACTCCCACAGTCCCTTCTTCCATCTGCCTCACTTTGAGAAAGAAGCAGTTAATGAAACTCAGGGCAAATACGGGGTGTCTTGGGGGGTGGTGGTAGTGGGTATAGACAGAGGAATAGGGGATTTTCGAATGTGTTAGACAGTTATTTCTCTTTTAGTCTTTGTGACTCCACCAAAAGCCTGTTCCAAAGAGTGAGGTGTTGGTGAGGAGAGAGCTTCACACACAAACTCCACTCCACCGGATGTGGCTGCTTCCTCATTTCATCGTTATGGGGAGGAGGAATTGTCAGCCTCTTTTCACACAGACACTGAGGCCTAGGGAGCTTGAGGGACTTGGACTAGGTCAGGATCTAAACAAAAGGTGGGGCAGGCCTTCAGCATCCATGGGAAGAGTTGTTTCTGGGCTGCCAAGCAGGCACACCGACTCCTGCCCCCCTGAGGCTTCCACAAGCTGGGGTGGGTGGGTAGAGGGTGCTGGGAGGAAGAAGGCAGCTTGATCAGGACCACAGTGTCAGACCCTAGAGGTGGAGGCTGTTGTCTTGCAGTTCTACCTGCCCTCTTCTGCCAGACTTGGCCTTGGCTGCCCTTTTAGAGCCCCACCAGATAGAGCTTGCCTGGAAGCCCTCAAGATTTTGGCCTATATTAGATTGTCCATTTGGCAAGGACAGGAAGGAGATAGATGAACACTTCTGGAGGAATACATAGCGGAGGACGGGGAAGGGGTCAGGGAGAATGTGGGGCAGAACCCAAAGACCACAGATGAGGCATTGGTGATCTACGCTTTTTTTTGGAGCACCTTCATCTTCTAACTCCTTTAGTGGGGAATAGCCAGAAGCTATTGTAAGGTCTTGTAAGCTATTGTAAGGTCCCTGGATAGCACAAATGGTTTGTGCTCATCTGCTAACCCCAAAGTTGTCAGTTCTAACCCACCCAGCAGCACCAAGGAAGAAAGGCCTGGTGACCTGCTTCTGTAGAGATTATAGCTAAGAAAACCCTGTGAAACAGTTCTGCTCTGTAACACACGGGGTCACCATGAGTCAGAATTGACTTGACAGCAATAGGAAGATCATCCTGACAGAGGCTTGGGAACCAAATGCAGAAGTCCTCTTTGTATATTAGCTGTGTACTTGCTGTGTGGCATGTGTATGAATCATACAATAAATAGGTAGCTAATTGGACAAAGGATTCCTCTCCCTAAATCTCCTTAATTGATGTTCCATATACCTATTGACTGAACTACTTGGAAGGCCTTGGGTTAGGTGCGAACATAGAAGGGAGAAACTTGGTCCTTCCCCTCAAGAAGTTTGCCCTAGCCTGAGAGACAAGAAGAGAATACTCAGAGCCTTGTTGGTCCTGGAGAGAATGGCCAGTTTTGAGGACCCAATGCCTAGTGGACCGAGCTGGGGCTGTCCTTTGTTGCTCACACTCCTCATCCAGCTCACACTGTAGTCAGAGACCTGGTTGGAGAGTGGGCTGCCAGGCCAGGCTCTGGCCTGGTTAGGATGTATTCACAGGAAGTGGGGTGCAGGTGTGCAGAGGCCCTGCTGGCAAGAACTAGGAGCGTCACTGTTTCCATTGGAGCTGGTGGCCCTTTCCTTCTCTGGGAGGTCTCACCAGATGTGCTGAGAGGGGGCTCCTCACATCCATTGCTGTGCTCCAAGTTTTTGTCCCAGCTGCCCTGGTGGTCTAAGGCCAGCAAGGGTGGAGTTGTCAGGGAAGGTCTTACCCAGTTTGACAATCATCTCTGGAAGCCCGACCTGTGTCCCTATGACTAGGGCATCTGACTCCCTCTTTCCTGTCTTGCCACTCTTCTCCTCATTCTGGGGTCTGGGGTTCCATCTGGTTTGCTTCCTCTGATGCTGTGTGTAGAGAAGTTGGGGTATTGCCCCACAAAGGTGAACAGTCTTGCTGGGAAGGAGGACGGAGGGGGAGGGTTGTCAGAAACAGATAGTTAGGTAGTTCTGGGAACTTCAGATACCCAAGTCCTCCCCCCGCCCCCATACTTGGTTGTGCCCCTGCCTGCCATACTCAGAACCACTCCCCCTTCTACCCAGCTTCTCTTTCTCTCTGTTTTCAGCCCTACCCAACTCTTTACCTCCCCAGGTTCCTCTGTTCTGGCTGTCCCACACCCCAAGTGTTTTCTCTTTGCCTTTGGAGAAAGGGCTGAGTCTCTTTCTGCCAACAGCAGCTTCAGGGCACCCTAGACAGTGACCCTGAGATACTATCAGATAACTCATCATCCCAGGGAATACTCTAAGCTTTGAAACCCCTGAACTGGAGAGACCCCAGGAGTGGTCTTCTTGCCCCCTCAACCCAGATCCCTTGCTGTAGGAGGTGGAATGCCCATGGCTGAGGTGGAGGAGCAGTTCCAAGGCTTTGGGATTAGGGATTGAGAAGCTCTGCCTGCCCACCTACCTCCCCTCACTAGCCTGGACTTTGAGTCCCGCCTTCCGGTGGAAGATGGATGCCAGGCTTGCTTACTGCACACCTCTCAGAAACCTTTTGTGTCTTGTGGTTTGTGTGGTGATGAAGATGGCAGAGGAGAAGAGCCCATATTTGCAGGTTCCTGGGGTAAGGCTGGCACTGACCTGGTTCTGGGTGGCCTTTGGACCAATTCAACACCTCTGGCTGCATAGTCCCGTCTACCAGGCTCAGCTCAGGGCAGAAGCTCCAGTTGACATTGCATGGGAAGGCAGGTAGTAGGGCTGGGAAGTCCTGCTGATTAGGACCTCTGCCCAAGCCCCCTGACATAGGCACAGAGCCTTTGTTCTGCCAGCCACAGTCCTTCACTCAAAAGTTACTGTAGCATTAGGAGTGGGTGCTGGGGCCACTGAGGGGGCGGGTGGCCAGAGCGGATGTCTCTGAAGGTCATTGGGGGAGGGAACCCACAGCCAGCCATCAATCAGCATGCCTGGGAATGGGTGCCTCCCTCTTTATGCCTTTATGCCAAGCAGAGGGTAGGTGGGCGGGTTGGGGCATGGGGGCCACTTCCTTCTTTTTTTCTCCTTGTTATGTCCCTTTCCCAGGGCTGGGAGGTGTCCAGAGTTGTGATGCTGATGTGTTTGCTCACTCTCCCAGTCTTGGTAGGGACTTGGGAGATGTGTCTGGGGTCTGTTCTGGCCCAAAGCATCCAATGCCAGCCTCTGTAGCCATCCTAGGTTCCACAGGCCTGACAAGGGCAGCCTGGGGGGTATGCCTCCAAGGGCCTGAGAAATGTGGAAAACAAACCAGTGTAACCAGAGCAGCTGGCCTTATCCTTAGAATAAGCTTGGGCCTTAGAAGAGAGTTCCCTTCAGGATTCTTAGATAGCTTAAGGGCCCAATCAGGGATGGTCAAGGGCAGCTGGCTGTGGATTGGAGTGATGGGACGCAGGGGTGGATGAGGTGGATGCTACAACACACCAGAGGCCCTAGGGGTTCAGGGACCCCTGGTGGGTATAGCCAGTCATGCCCTGTATGGTGTGAGCTAGGGAGGTGCCTTCCCTTTTTGGCCTGAGCTTTCCCAGGGGTGTGGCTGTGTGAGGGATAAGAGTGTCCGGGCAAAGGTTTCCAGACTCTGCTTCAGCAGGTATTCGCTAAGTGCCACCATCACACTCCCTGTCCTATGCTTTTACTGTGTGTGTGGCAGCAGTAGGGGAATGAGAAGTAGAGGACTCGAGGGGAGGCCCTTAGAGCTGGAATCCTATGAGGACAGGTGCTGAGTTCTGCCAGCTGCCCAGGCAGTGGGGGACCCAGAGGGTAGTGGGGGATTATGCAATAAGCCAGGTGAGCATCTGCTTACTTGGCTTATTTACTAATCAGTAGAGAACAATTGCACATTTTTTCACCACATCAGAGTTTCTGCTTCTAGTTATGATGGCATCTGTCTTTCTCCCAACCCCACAGCACTGTCCTACAGATTCAAAGCCTCTTGTGAAATTTACAATCCCTGATAGGGATGGAGTACCCAATAAGCAAGGTAAGCACGGGCTGACTTGTGCTTACTTACTAATCTGTAGTGAAGTTTCATACACACGTGGCAAACAACATGTGAGTAGTGAAAAATATCTGAAACTCTTTACTAGAGATTAGTAAGTACAAGTAAGCCCGTGCTTACCTTGCCTAATGAGCAGCCTGTCCCTACTGGAGGGATATGCATGGGCTGCGGTGGTCTGGGCCAGGGTGAAGCTGAGGCCCAGTGGAAATGCCAGGCAGCTGGGAAAATGACGTTCTCTCTTGTGCCTCCGCCCCTTACTTGAGTATAAAGTACACACCTTGGCGTCACCCTTGTGCGGCCTAGGCGGCTGCCCGCCCTGTGTTATTCTTTCCACTCCGCAGGCCGTGGCTCTGGTGGTTTGGCCGGGTGGCCTACCCAGGCCCCCACCCCTACTGGGCAGCCGCTTCCATTCCTCCCAGACTGAGTCACTGTCCCAACGAGTGGGGTCCCTCTCAAGTTCTCCCCAATCTCCATGCCTGGCCATCCATTTTTCTGTCCATCTGCAGCCGCCAGCAGAGATGGGGGGGGGGCGGTGTTATTTGGCTGAATGGGCGCAGCCCCAGAGCCATAGAGGCCATAGAGCAACTCCCTCCCAGTGGCACTGGGTGAGAAGCAGGAGGGTGAGGGAGGCCTGGCTGGTGGGAGAGAGCATTTGTAGAAACAGATATAGGGAATTGAGCCTTGAGCAGCTCCGTGGTGGTACCCCTAAAGGCTTCTTTGTGGCATTGGCTCCCATTCCTTGAGACAGCCAGCCTGTTACATTGTTGGGGAAACTGATGCCCAGGAGGGGTTTGTCCGTGATGTTTTGACTGTGGGAGCCCATCTTGCTCTTGAGGCTGAGGCTCCATCAGCACAAGGCCAGGGTGTACCCAGGTCTCCCTCTGGCCTTCCACCTGGCTCTTCTTGGGCACCAGCCTGGGGGTGGGGTTGGGGGGATGTCCATACCTGCTGCTGCCTCAGCAGGGCTTTGCCTGGGCTGGTTCTTGATGACCTTTGTCTGGCATTCTTGGCTCACTTTTGGGAATTCCGAGGGAAGCCCCAGAGGGAAACAAAGCAGCCTTGGCTTCTGTTACACACTGTGGTCAGGGCAGTCGGTGCTGGGGGCTGGGAGCCCTTCCTCTCTACACAGCTCAGCTCCAGTGGGCACCTTCCCAGTGTGCCCGAGTCCTGACCCCGCAGGCGGCTTCCTCAGACCCACCCAGTCCTACGCAGCCCTGGCCTCCCTCTACTCTGGCCGGCACCTCCGCCTCCGCCTGTCCTTTATGGTGGGTGGTGGTTTCTAGGCTGCCCAGGCTTCGGGAAGTGCCCTTGCTATTAACCCTGGGCACAGACCCAGCGATGAGGTCCTGAAGTTTTCCCGGTGCCTGGGAGGCCCCAATGCCTGTGGGCTGGAGGCAGGGGTGTGGACTTGGTGACCTCTGAGAAAAGCCCCTGAGTGCCTGCCATCTACCTCTGTTTGACCTCTCATTTGGGTAGTTTCTCCGCCTTTGGGCAAGGGGTGGGTGGGGGAGCAGGGGGTGTTCAGGCTCTAGGAAGGCATGTGCTCAGAGGGTCTCTGGGGAGATCATGGGTCAGCCAGGTGGAAAGGGACCTTTCCCGTTGGACCCCTCAGGAATCCAGTTAGGAAACTGAGCCCCAGATAGGGCAGAGGCCTGCTGGTGGTCACTTGGTAAGTCAAAAGCTAGGCTGAGATCTGAGGTCTGGATCCTGGCTTCAGTTCTCTCTTCAGAGGCCCCAGCCCACGGAGCCTGTAGGTACAAGGTGGCAGTGGGCTTCCATCTCAGCTCCTGGCCTTTCCTAGAACCTCTCTCCCCACCCCCTCTGCTCACTCCCAGGCTCTGGGGACTCTCCTTGTCTTCCTGGGTCGTCCCTGCCCTCCTTGGCCCCAAGACTTGAAAAAGAGCAATTCAGCCAGTCATCGCTAGAGGGCGCATGGTATGTGACCCATAGGGCAAGGCAGGCTTGTCAGCGGGCCCCTGTGTAGCCACTGTTTGGGATGTAGTGGGGGCCTTCAACACTCCCCCTTTTGTAGCCCTGGGATGGCCACTCCTAACTGCCGTAGCGCATGGGTGCACTGAGTGGAGGCAAGCAGGCGCTTCCACTGGTCAGGTGATTTGAGCTCAGCATTGCTAACTTCAGGACTCTTTTGAGGGAGTAGCATCTGTGTAGGGGCACAGGAATGCTGGTGTTTATGTGCTCTGTGAGTCAAAGGGAACCCCAGAGATTCAACTTCATTTAGATGAGAAAACTAAGGCTCAGAGAGGGAAGAGACTTGGCCATGGTCTCACAGTAAGTTGATGGATGATCCCGGTTTAAAACTCAGTTCTCTGGGCACCACCTCACCACAGGCTTTGACTCTGGAGGGTCCTAGAGGGCGTGTCCTTGGCCCCATCCCCACCCCACATGTCTACTTTTGAGCCCCAGGTCTCCTGCATGCTGGGGTGCCCAGCCAGCACCTCTCCCCATCCCCTTCATGACAGACAACCCTGGCTCCTCTGGTCCAGGGCATGGCCTCCCTGTCCCCACCTGCTGTCCACCCCCAGCCTACCTTCTGTGGCCTGGTAGCTTCAGAGTTCTCTTTCTGCCTCCCTGTCTCATTTTCTGATGAGCCCACTCAGTTCAGTCACTGCCTCTTTCTTCACCAAGGGCGCCTTGCTGTTTGTAAGGGCCCTTTGTTGGGTGGTATAGGGCCCTGGGGCAAGAGTTTCCCCTCCTACCCCCCTAAAACCCTTTGACCAAGGGGCGAGAGCTAGTCTCTGGAGGACAGCAGGTGAGAGGCTAAGACAGTCAGCACTCCCTTGATGCCCTTCTGAGGTGTGTCGCATCTCAATCCCCCTGGCAAATTCCCTGGGATCCCCATAACAGGGAAAGGTGTGAGTGACCTGTCCAGGGCTGCGCTGCCCTTGGCGACCTCCCCTCATCTTTCTACCTCTCAGCTGTGCCTTTGTGGCAGGAGTGGCCACAAACAGTACGGGCCTCTCCGCCACCCCTCACAGGCCTCCTTCCCTCCGCCCTCCCTCCCTCTGCCCACCGGGAATTTCGGAATGAAAGTGCTATTGTGAGTGCCTGGCTGGGCCACTGAAGGGCCAGCACTGTTATTTCTGCAAACCAGCCCTCCCATTAGCCATGCAGGGCCCAGGCCAGGAAAATGTTACCTTTTCCTCTTCGAGCTGACTGCAGGGGAAATTCTCACATTTACAGTTTGTGCGGTGGTTGTGTTTGGGGGGTAGGAGGGGAGGGTGGGCGCGTGTGTGTGGTTTGTGTGTGGGGGGGAACTAGGGGAATTTTTGTCTCCATCCTCTGCACTGCCCTTCCCTCTCTAACTTTCCCCTGGTACTGGTGGGGAGTATACGTATGGGGTTCCTCCTACCTCTCTGCTCCTGTGCTGGACTCTGTGGGGATGGAGGTTGTTGGGTTACAAGGAGACCTAGAGGCTGTTAGTAAATAAAGGAACATACTCCCCATTTCTCTATACCATGGGGAGAGGCATGAAAAATATGTGCAGGGGGGACCTGGATGAGGAGGGCCAACACTAGGGCATTACTAAGCCAGTTAGGAGAACTGAAAGCAGGGAGATGGAAACAGGGACTCAACAGCTACTTAAAATGGTCATGGAAGATGCAGGTAGTTAAAAGGGCTTCTCTTTGGCTTTGTGACCCTTTGGGATAGAAAGCCATTGCCCAATTCCCCTTTCTCCAAACCCAGTCACACCTAAGACGTTCTAATGGCACAGCTGTTGATGGACTCGCTAGAATCTCTGCACAGTAGATATTTCCCAGGGAGTGAGAGTGGGTTTGGTCCTCAGGAAGTCCTGCTTGCCATCTAGCTCAGACTCTCTTGTTTTCACATCGGTGGAGTAGAAGCAGAGCCACCCACTGCTCTCCTGCCTCTTCCTGGCCCAGTCCATTCAGCTGTGTTTCGCTCCTCCAGGGCACTTCTGCCCTGTGCCCCGGCAACTCACCAAGGTGACTACCGGGAACAGGTTCGCTCCAGTGGAAGAGCAGCCTCCCTCCTCCCAGCCCTCTCAGCCCCTTTTTGTGTTGCTCCTCATGGCTGGGGCAGCCACAGCTTCCTCAGATTTCTTGACAGTTGGGCTGCGCAGGCTCCAAGGCTTTGCTGCTGCTTGGGATGCACACTTTTCTTGGGGCCAAGATAGGCAATGACAGTGAAAGTCACCCTTTTGAGTTACTTGGAAGGACCCTAAAAGCAAAACAACAAAATCACTGCCATTGAGTTGATTGCGACTCATAGCAACCCCTACTGGGTTTCCAAGGCAGTAAATTTTTAAGGAAGTAGACTGCCTCATCCTTCCTCTGTGGGGTGCCTGGTGGATTTGAACCACCAGCTTTCTGGTTAGTAGTCAGATGCCTCAGGCACTGCACCATCAGAGCTTCTTATTAAATAAAAATGCTTATGAACTGTGTTTTCATTCCTGCCCTTTCCTTCCCTTTCCTTCCAAGACGTAGGAAGTAGGATGAAGGTTCAGAGTTGAGGACTCTGTGTCTGAGAGGGCTTTGGGAGACTACAGGGCTTTATCTGAAGCTGGATGAGGGGCATTCGGTCAGGGGCGAGAGGCAGGCTGCGGCCAGGCAGAGTGGTTGCTGCATTGGCATGATGGAGCCCATCTGGGTGCAGGGGACCAGCCAGGCTGGGGCTGTGCTGACCAGGACCCCTTGCCTCTCTTTCCTCCAGGTCTACTCCAAGATCTTTAGCCACGAGGCTCTGGAGAGCTACCTGCCAAAGATCCAGCTGGTGATCCAGGACACACTGCGTGCGTGGAGCAGCCACCCTGAGGCCATCAACGTGTACCAGGAGGCGCAGAAGCTCACCTTCCGCATGGCCATCCGGGTGCTACTGGGCTTCAGCATCCCTGAAGAGGACCTGGGGCACCTCTTTGAGGTCTACCAGCAGTTTGTGGAGAATGTCTTCTCTCTGCCTGTCGACTTGCCCTTTAGTGGCTACCGGAGGGTGAGCACGCAGAGTCTGGGAGAGGAGACGATGGGGCACCCATGAGCACCCTCAGGGAGGGGAAGAGTTAAGATAGTCACAGGGTCACACAGTCAGCAGAGGAGGGGGTCAGTGGGAGGGGCCCCTCAACCTGGTGGTAACTGGGGCTCAGATAGAAAATCCTTAGAGCAGCCCCTGCCACCCTCTGCCTGGCCTGGAGAGGAGGCCCTCAGTGGGCCTGCCTTTTCCTGTGGATGATGGCTCCTTTGGTCCACAGGGCATCCAGGCACGGCAGACCCTACAGAAAGGGCTGGAAAAAGCGATCCGTGAGAAGCTGCAGTGCACCCAGGGCAAGGACTACTCAGACGCACTGGACATCCTCATTGAGAGCAGCAAGGAGCACGGGAAGGAGATGACCATGCAGGAGCTGAAGGTGAGGGTGGGCGGCCTCCTGGCTGGCACCAAAAGGCCCCGGAGCACCACTCCCAGGGTGTCCTATGGGCAGGAAAGGCACCCGGCCACCTCTCCCTGTCTGGGTTCTATTCACACACGTTTGCTGAGCAGCTGCCATGGCCGTCACTAGACCAGGCTACCCTTACCGTGCACATAGTCTAGTGGGAGGACAAGACACACACCTGTGTTGGAGGGGGGCATTCGTCAGCTCTGCCCACTTGAAGGCTCGCATGCACTCACAGAGACTTACTGGAGATGTTCCCGTCTTCACTGTCATTACTTCCTCACATTCTAGCTCCAACTTTTTTCCTGGTGAACCAGTAAGGGGCCAGATTGACTTTCCCTTTTTGGAAATAGTTTTGTGTCTTGTAGGTGGTACTATGGCAGGTCCTTTCATTCTCATCTTTGGGCCCAGCACATTTGTAAAATTCAGGGCTTAGAATTAGATGACCTGCCAGGACCTTCCACTGAGGACCATGACGTAGGTGTCAGCCCCTAGAGAATCCTATGGGACCACCTCCCCCTCAACCTTCTCATCACAACATCCACAGGCCAGTTCTTCAAAAATGTGGCCCCAGGCTGCCTCCAGGACACTGTGTGCTCCCCTGGCCACTACAGACTTCCTTCTTCAATGGAGCAGAAGAGGGAGCTGGGGTTTAGACCCTGCACCCTACCCCCCAACACACACACACACACACAGGCACACATACACACACACACACATACCCTGAATCTGAACAGTGCTTTGCTGTCTGGGTTCTGGAATATTGGTTCTTTTTCTCTGTGAGTTCACTCACTTTGATCAAGCCTGCTTGGGAGTCCAGTGGTAAGGGAAAAGTGGCTCTACCCCAAGGGACTTCCAGCCTTCTCCCTCCTGCCCAATTACCAGACTGGCCCTGTGACCCCATGTCCATTGTTGCCCTAATATCCCTAACATGAGGCTCAGAGGGAACAGAATTCATAGCAGGGAGTGGACAGAGCCCAGCTCAGATGATCCTGGGGCACTGGCAGATGGGCTGCCCCAGCTGGCAGATCACCAACAGTGCCCCTTTCTGTGTGGCTGCAGGATGGGACCCTGGAGCTGATCTTCGCAGCCTATGCCACCACGGCCAGCGCCAGCACATCTCTCATCATGCAGCTGCTGAAGCACCCGGCCGTGCTGGAGAAGCTGCGGGAGGAGTTGCGGGCCCAGGGCATCCTGCATAGTGGCGGCTGCCCCTGTGAGGGCAGTCTGCACCTGGACATGCTCAGTGGGCTGCACTACCTTGACTGTGTCATCAAGGAGGTCATGCGCCTGTTCACACCTATTTCTGGTGGCTACCGCACCGTGCTGCAGACCTTTGAGCTTGACGTGAGTCTAGGCCTGTGGGGCTTGGGGTAGACCATGGGAGCACTGCTGTGGGTGTAGGGCTGGCCAGTGAGAAAGACCAGCCTCCCCTTAGGGTGCCTCTTAGTCTGGTGGGAAGAGATAGTCCTTACTCTCAGAGGTTCTCATGGCAAAGGCCCCACCCCAAGTCCTGAGTCAAATAGATGAGGTGCCACTCCTCCAGATGAAGCCATCCTAGGTTTCATACCACTGTCTATAAATGAGACTAGAGTCACAATGCTGAGAGGAGAGAGGTCTGGGGTATTTCTAGGAAGAGGCAGGTCTTGACATAGCAAAGGGTAAGAGAACAGTGGGAAGTCCTGGGCCCTCTTGCCCTCACCATCCCTCCTTTTCCCCTCAATTTGTGTCCAGGGTTTCCAGATCCCCAAAGGCTGGAGTGTCATGTACAGCATCCGTGATACCCACGACACAGCGCCTGTGTTCAAAGACGTGAATGTGTTTGATCCCGACCGATTCAGTCAGGGGCGGAGTGAAGACAAGGATGGCCGCTTCCATTATCTCCCGTTTGGTGGTGGTGTCCGGACCTGCCTGGGCAAGCACCTGGCCAAGCTGTTCCTGAAGGTGCTGGCAGTGGAGCTAGCCAGCACTAGCCGCTTCGAGCTGGCCACCCGGACCTTCCCCCGCATCACCTTGGTCCCCATCCTGCACCCCGTGGATGGCCTCAGTGTCAAGTTCTTTGGCCTGGACTCCAACCAGAACAAGATCCTTCCAGAGACGGAGGCCATGCTGAGCGCCACAGTCTAACCATGCTCCTCCCCACACCCCTGCCTCAGCCCAGCACAGGCAGTGGGGGTAGGGGCGATGGGAGGGTAGAAACCTGTGTGTGGGAGGGGCTGGGGCCCAGGGAAGGGTAAGCACTCCTCCATACCTTGCCCTCTCCTGTTCCCTGTCCTGGCAAACCCTTCCCAAAGCCCAAAGGGCCCCATCCCTCCTGGAGATGGGGGCTCCCCTCCAGGCTCCTGCTTTTTTCCTGCCTCCAGTTCCCACCAGCTTAGCTCCTGGGAAAGAGCGTGGCTGGGGGCTCTGCATGCCCGTTACAGTGTTAAATGTTGGTCTGCTTGTGCTACAGTGTTTGCTTGTGTTCTGAATTGGTCCCTTCCCCTCCCATTTCTTTTTGACACTTTTTGTTTGAGGATGAGTTCCTGGGTGGCAGAAATGGTTAAGCGTTCACCTACTAACCAAAGGGTTGGCAGTTTGAACCCACCCAGCAGTGCCTCAGAAGACAGCCGTGGTGATCAGCTTCCAAAAGGTCACAGCCATGAAAACCCTATGGAGCACAGTTCTACTCTGCACACAAGAGGTTGCCATGAGATGGGATGGACTCTGTGGCAACTGGTTAGTTTGAGGTCAGGTGGTGGAGATGAGGAGAGAGGGAAAAGAGGTGTCCACTTTGGCCCTCTCCTCAGTGCCCTCTTCCCCCATTCTGCCACTGCCTACATGGGCTTTGCCCTTCTGAGTGGTCACCCTGAAGAACAGCATCCTGGGTAATAAAGTATGGTCACCCTGAAGAACAGCATCCTGGGTAATAAGTGCAGTCACCCTGAGGAACAGCATCCTGGGTAATAAGTGTGGTCACCCTGAAGAACAGCATCCTGGGTAATAAGTAATGTAATACTAGAACACAAGTCAGCCTTGGCAGGGGACGGAGCCTGTAGCTATCTCTGGAGTGGCTCCACCCCTCTGCCAGTTTGGACCTTCGAAATTACCTCTTGCTGCTACTTTTTTCTCTCCTCTGATTTTGGGGCAAAGGAGCCCCAAGCCCTGCCCTCCCAGCATCCTCCCTGCTGGCCCTGGGCACACGCACTGACATCCCCACCTTCCTACCAGGCAGCCTGCAGCCAGACCTTGTTCTCCTGTTACTTACCTGAGGCCCTTGGCTCATGGGCCACCTGTGCCCCCTCCCTGTATTTATTCAACGAAAATCAGCATTAGTGGGGTCTGAAACAAGCATCTCCTCCATTCCCCAGCCTCCATTCCAGCTGTTCTGGGCAGGACTTCTGTGAGAGTAAAGAGGAAGAGATTGCTGGTCTGCCTTGAACCAGGCCCTCTGGCCTAGGATTGAACCTTCTCTGGGTCTGGAAATTATTTGGGTTTAACCTCAGAGCATCCTTCCTAGCCTGAAACCCAGCACCTTTGCCTTTTGTCCCCAGTGGAGTTGGGGAAAAGGCCTGCAGCCTTCCTCCCTGTTATGTTAAAAACCCCATTATGTGGAGGCTGCCTGCTTGGCCACTGCTTATCCCAGTGACCCCACTCCAGCTAGAGAGCAAGGGGAAGGATACGGGTTCTGTTTTCTGACAGGGAGTAAGGACCTCCATCTTCCCTTCCTTAACCCCCACCTTTTGTCCTTAGCCATTTGGAAGGTGTCCTTGAAATCCCTTCTCACCTCTATGCCACTGTCTGTTTAGCCCAGCTCAGGGGTGTGGGGACAAGGTGAAAGTTAGGGGAGGTGAGTGTAGAAGCAGACCTCCCTCAGCCTCTGCCGTGGTCTTAAGACAGCTGTGGAGGGAGGCTGCAGTCAGCTGAGGGGGAGGGCATGTGCGATGTGGTCAGAGGGATTTGTTTGAAAACTGGCCAGTCAGGATAACTGGTGAAAGGAGTAGCTCCTGTCACTGGCATTTTGAGTGTAGGCATTTGGGGTGCTTCCTGGGGGTGGTTTGGGGTCTTTGATGAGTCTCTAAACAATTTTGTCTGTTGATTTTTATTTGCTTCCCATGCCTCTATTGGTTTTTGATGTTACCAAAGTAATGAGCCCTCTTTGTAAGGAACACACTGAAGAAGAATGAAGTACTGGATGATTCCTCTAACTGCCTCCACTTAACAGTAGCAGCTGTTAGCGCCAGGCCTCCCTCCACATGGTGTCTGCTGGTTTACGCCCCAGCTCATGCTCACAGGATAGGTGGGTTTTACCAGCATGGGCCTTGCTGTGCAGATTGTTTATAAGCCACTATTCTCAAATGGTTAATTTTTTTCCATTTTTGTATGAAACAACCACCACCTATGCAGAAGAGACATTACTGAAAAAAAAAGTAATGGGAATTTAAAAAAAATGTTTAAAATCCCCCAATCCCCCTAAATTCTGAGAAACAGGCAAATGTGTAAAGTCTCATCAGAGCTTGCAAAGTAGCTCCACGGTGCTCTGGGATTTGTCACAGAGTGCAGAAGGTTTATTCTCCTCTAAGCTGACCCAGCCTGCCCTGTACCGATTGTTTAGGACAGACTGAGAGCAGGAAGTGAAGCTTCAGACAGGAATCCCACCTGGCCTGACCTGTGAGGGGCAGGGCCCAGGGGGCCTCAGCAGCCTATTAGGGGGTGGCCAGCTGGGAAAGGGGCAGAGAAGGAAATGCAAAGGGAGATCCCTGTGAGGGAGGAAAGAAGGGTCATTTGCCCCGCTGGGTCTCAAAGGCAACAAGAGAAGGGAAGAAAGCTCTTGGCTGGTTGACAGAGGGACTCCATGTTGCAATCCATCCAATCCCTCTGTAGGTCTGTACTGAAGAGTCTGTGTGACTGTGTGTCAGTGTGTCTGTTTCCTAGAGGTAGCATTAGATGGGTGATGTTTTCTCACCATTCCTAACTCTTGTAACTTGACTAATTAAAAAAAAAAAAAAAAAAAAAAAGCAAAACCCCACAGAACCCTTCCTGCCATGGGCTTGCAGATTGAAGCACTTTTGATGTTGGGCGCTGGCGTTTGTGTTGCAGGCACCATCCCAACCCTGCCCAGATTGCTATCATATTATTTTACACACAAAACTTTTTTTTCATAAGTGTTAAAATTTTGTGTCTGTCTTTATAAACTATTATAAGTACTATTTTTGTTATAATTCAAAATAGATATTTAGTATAAAGTTTTTGCTGTTAAATATTTGTTATTTAGTAAAATATGAATTTTCTCTCTATTGTAAACATGTTCAGAATATTAATATGTTTTTATCACAGTTGTTTTAATATTGAAAAAGCACTTGTGTATTTTGTTTTGATATGAAACTGGTGCCGTGTGAGTGTTTTTACTGTCGTGTGGTTTTTAATCTGTATATAATATTCTGTGTTGCATATTAAAAAAATGAATGTTGTGCATTTCGTGATTTTGGAAATACTCAATGTGGCTCTTTTATAGGCTTCCATAATAAACTGTGGGGACTCACCCTTGTCTGCGTCTCTGGTATCTGCCTTCTCAGCCTCACTGACTGGGTCTTCTGTGACACCAGTAGTCACTTCAGCACCTCCCAGTCCAACTCATCAGAGCATGTTTCCCTAAAACAGCTTCTTGTGTGTCTGTGGTAGCATCCTGGTAAGAGGGTAGAGATGTAGCTGGTTGACCCCTTAAGAAAGAAGCCTGCGGGGTCCACTGACAGGCTTTGCCAAGTATCTCTGTGCTGGACACAGCTCAGAGCTCAGAGGCCTTGTCCTCAGAGCCCATGTTGTTTAATGGAGGAACAGTATTGAGACCAAGCCCTCATGGCAAAATAGGGAGCCAGATCCAGCTCCCCTGACTTCCAACCTTGTGCCTTATATTGCCATTTCTCAAAGCCTGTGTCATGGGTATTGCATGACCAAATAGATGCCATGATTAAATAAGCCTTGGAAATGGGTTAAACAAAGCGAAGCAGGTTCCTTTACTGTAGGACTTAGCACTTGCGCCATGGCTATGGCTGTGATTTCTAAGGGGCAGTGCAGTGGAGGGGTAGGCACAGGTGACAGCATCCCCCAAGTCTGTGTAATGACCCAGCAGCACCTTTTCCTCTTTTGCCAGTGAGCATGCTTTGTGAAAAGCATAACCAAGGCCTGAATCACAGAGGCCAGAAGTGAAGGCCAGGGAAAGGTCCTGCCATCACTTCCAGTGATGGGGCAAGAAATATTCAGGGCAGTTCTAAGGACCAAGTGTGGTGTGGGAGGGCAAAGAGAGCCTTGGTTTCCCACCTGCACACTACAAACCAGGAAGGACCCTGGCCCTGGAAAAAGAAAGACCAGGCTGAAGGGCCCTGTGCATGCCCTGATCCCCCTACCAGCCTGGGGAGGGAAAGCTCTGAGAATGGCCTTTCTGTGCCCTGAGAGGTGCAAATGGTTTATAGACTTAGCTGCTAACCGAAAGGTAGGAGGTTAGAGTTCACCTAGAATTTCTTTGGAAGAAAGGCTCTACTTCCAAAATTCACCCATGCACTGAAACCAAACCCACTGCTGTCAAGTCTGTTCCAACTCATAGTGGCCCTAGAGGACAGAGTAGAACTACCCCCTAGGGTTTCCAAGGCTATAATCTTTATGGAAGTAGACCGCCACATCTTTCTCCCATGGAGTGGCTGGTGGGTCCCAACTACTGACCTTTTGGTTAGCAGAGGTCAACTTTAACCACTGTGCCACGAGAGACCCTTCCAAAAGATCACAGCTGTTGAAAACTCTGTGGTGGACAATTCTACCCTGACACGCACATGGGGTTACCATGAATCAGAGGTGACTCAACAAGAACTGGTTTTTACTGGTGGCTATAATTTCTCTCTTGGATCTACTCAGTCAGACCCAACCTTGCTCAGAGCACCCTGGCTTAGGCACACCCCAGACACAGGGCTGTCAGGGTCAGGGTCACAGAGCCTGTGCACCCAGAGAAAGTAATCTGCTGAACAGAGGCCCCTGGGACAGGACATCCAGTAAGCCCTGACCATGGACTCGCTCACAATGGGCCATTTTCTGCATCACCTTCACCCTCCCCACCGTGCCCGGGCCTGTTCTCATTGAGTCGCAGCATCGACTCCTCCACCCTGATTGCCCCCATTTTCCATAACATAGAACAGAGTTTCAGAGATGCAGTGACTTATCACACAGATGTGGAGGGTAGTGCTTGTACTAGAACCGGGTTACATGCCCCACCCACTCAGAAGGGCTCATTCAGATGGAGACCTCCAAGGGCAGTAAGGGGCAGCAGTG